GCGCAGGCCACACCCTTTCACTTCAGAGTTCTGTGCTCAGCACATCCAGGCAGCAGGAGGGAGAGTCAGGCTTTGCTGAAAGGTGCTTCTTCCCCCGGGGCCTTTGAGCATCTCCCCAACATGCCGGCATGTGGCCAGCACCTGAGGTGCAGCTACACGACAGTGAAAGAGGTTCAAGTTCAAGGCACGTGGCTTGGGACTCTGAAGAACTTTTTCATGGTGGGCATCATCATCTACATCTGGTGAGTGGGGTGAACCCAGCTGAGGGTTCCTATTCTATCCTTCCTCTTCGTTTCCTCCCCTGACCTCTCCACAGCCCACCGCTTTAGCCACATCAGCCTGTGAGTACCCTGCTTCCCTCACACTGGCTGTTTTTCCCCCTACCAGATTCACTTCAGTCTTCCTATCCCCCATCCCCATCTACCCATCCTGCAAAGCTGGCCAGATGCCCAGCATCTTGGGGGCTCTGCTCACTCCAGGGACTAGTGGTTTGGCTATCTTCAGAATGCATGGTGTTGTACGCAGCCAGAAGGTCATAGGAATAGGGAGCCAGGCAGTTACCCCTCAGGGACTAAATAAATCCACAGTCTGGAGAGGTGACCGGCTTGCCTGAGTCGCCCAACCATTTGGGAGAGTCACTGGGCCCGGTCAGGACCTCCTTCCGAAAGACAGGATACGCTGAGAAATTTGTCTTCTTTTTTCCTTTGAAGCAAATGGTATTGATTTTTCATTCATTTACACACCTGTAACTTGGGGAGTCCAGCTTCACCCCTCCAATGAGCATATGGTTCCCCCTCCACCGGAGCTCCTGTGCCCATGCCCTGCCCCATATCCCCCCTCCTGTCCTCGTCCCTTCAGACACCATATTTTTCAGTCTAAGTTATTTTTGTGGTTTGTCAGTGTTTTCTTTAGTTATATTCCACCAATGAGTGAAACCGTCCAATTGTCTTTCACTTTCACACACTCATTTCACGTATCATTGCCTCCAGTTCCATCCTTATCATCCCAACAGGCACCATTTCATCTTTTCAAATAGTTGAGGTGTAGCCTGTTGAGTAAATATATTCCACAATTTCTTTTCTTTTTTTTTTTTTTAACTAGGCATTTTTTTTTTTTTATAGAGGCATGTTTTATTTATTTATTTGTTTGTTTTGTTTATACATGCACTGGGTACAGTCAGAAGCGCTGGAGGGTGAGAGAATTCACCAGAGCCAGAGCAGGGAGCAGAGCAGGCAGAAGGATGGAAGTATACTGCTGAGGGGAGCAGCGGGCGGCAGGAGAGGTCTGCGTGCCATGTGGGACCCTCCTCCGGTGGCCGGGGAGCAGCCAGGGATCGAACCGGCGCCGCAGAGGCCACGGGCAGCTTCGCAACCCAGCGCTCAACCGCTGAGCCACCGGGGAGGCCCTTCCACAATTTCTTTATCCAGTTGTCTGTCAATGGGCATTCCATGTCTGAAGCAATGCAATTCTTAAAGTATATTCATTATGGTGCAGAGACAAGTGCTCTGACTTATGCAGGGTTGGATTTCATGATCAGCATCTGTCACTTTCTAGAATGAATATGAGAGATCAGAATTGAGCTTCTTAAAAGGTAGGCCAGTGTTGTTCTGGAAGAATATTGCAATATCCAACACGTAAATACACTGCAGTGCTGTGTATGCGTGGGGGTGCCAGGCTGAAACAGTTGAGCCCCTACCTTCCTCTTAGTGTATGGGGTGGTATTTATTAGCTTTGCCTCCTGCATGCTGACTGGACCCCAAATCTGGATCTCTAACCCCAATGTCTTCTTGAAGAATTTTATTTTTTAATGAATGTGACAGAACACTAAAATATATTGAGAATGATGTAATAAGCACCCACGCACCACCAGCCTATTTAAGGAATAAGACATTATAATCTAGTTTAGGTTCTCTGCACACCCAACCTCTATCCACTTCCTCTCCCCTTTTATACATCATCCTAAATTTGGTGTCTGTCCTTTGGGTTTGTTTTAATATTGTCTACAACATATGTCTGTATCTGGAAAAGTATCTAATTTTTTCCCTTTTTATGGAGGTGAAATTCATATGACAAAATTAGCTACAGACAGGCACTGCTTAACAATGGGGATTAGTTCTGAGAAAAGTGTCGTTAGGCAGTTTAATAGCTGGGTGGTGCCCCATTGAGGATCTACTCCACACACAGGGAGCATCATGCAGGGTGACTGCACAACAGCAATGGTGCAGCCTGCAGCACCCAGGCTAGATGGAAGAGCCTATCAGGACCCCTGTGGTATATGTAGTCTGTTGTTGATCAAAATGTCATGAAGGGGCACGTGACTGTACTTAAGGTGAACAGTTCAGTGGTGTTTAGTGAAAGTGTGTAACCACCACCTCTAGTCACGTCCAGAAACTTTCATCATCCCAAAAGGAAACCCCAAATCCATTATGCAGTCACTCCCCCTTCCCCCTTCCCTCAGCCCCTGGCTACCATCTGCCTATTCTCTGTCTCTGTTGATTTACCTAATCCAGATATATCATATAAATGGGATCATACAATCTGTGTCTGTGACCTTTTGTGTCTGGCTTCTTTTACTCTGTATTTTCAAATTGGCTGTGCTGCCACCACCAACAGAGCATTCAGAATTGCAGTACCTTAGCCCCATCCTTGGAAGCTCGGCTCTCTTTCGAATCACCCCGGGAGGGCCTCCCTGGTGGCACAAGGTGTTAAGTCTCAGCACTATGAAGCTATCGCCAGCCACTGAGGCAAAAGTTCAATTCCCACCCAAGGAGCAGACTCACATGGTGCAGAAGACCTCTCCTGTCTCCCCGCTGCTCCCCTCAGCAGAGTATTTCAGTCAATCCACCAGTTCTGCTCCCCACTCTGTCTCTGGTGAATCCTCTCACCACCACCCCTTGCACCTCTGGCCTATACCCCAGTTCTTGTATGCATAAATAAATAAAATAAATCTTTAAAATTCACAGTGTAGCATATCTCACTTCTTCAGTATTTTTTTTTTTAATAGAGGCATGTTTTATTTATTTATTTGTTTGTTTGTTTATACAAGCACTGGGTACAGTCAGAAGCGCGGGAGGGTGAGAGAATTCACCAGAGCCAGAGCAGGGAGCAGAGCAGGCAGAGGACCGAAGTACACTGCTGAGGGGAGCAGCGGGCGGCAGGAGAGGTCTGTGCGCCATGTGGGACCCTCCTCCGGTGGCCGGGGAGCAGCCGGGGATCGAGCCGGCACGGCAGAGGCCGCAGGCAGCTTCGCAACCCAGCGCTCAACCGCTGAGCCACCGGGGAGGCCCATTCTTCAGTATTTTTTATGGCTGAATAATATTCCACCAAATGGATAGTCCACACTTGATCTCTTTATCCAGTGAGGGACATTTGGGTGGTTTTTACCTTCTGGCTTTTGTGAACAGTGCTGCTATACACAGGCACGGGCAGCTCCTTACTTGACTCTATGATGTTTGGATTTCTTTAAGCTTTATGTCACACTATGAATTGCTCAACATCATTTCCATGTTGATACAGGTAATTCTCGTCAATTCATTTTCACTGCTGTGGAGCATCCAGTTGTATGACTCTGACAATTTATTCATCCCTCACTCTTCAAGCACTTTTAGGTTATTTCTAGCTTGCCCTCTCACGAATAGCGCTGCCGCAAACATTTGTGCACATAATTCCATGGACATGTGTATGAGGGTTTCTCTGGAGCATAAACCTAAGAGTGGAATGGCTGGGTCATGCAGAATGCACTTTTAAAATGCATGTGATATTGCCATAGATGAACCTTCCTTTCATGAGGCTCCAGGGGTTTAACATTGTAGGTAGGCATTAGAATCACCTCGGGAGGGCCTCTCTGGTGGTGCAAGGGATTAAGTCTCAGCACTATGAAACTATCACCAACCACTGAGGCAAGAGTTCGATCCCCACCCAGGAAGCTGACCCACATGGCGCAGCAGACCTCTCCTGTCTCCCCGTGCTCCCCTCAGCAGTGGATTTCAGTCAATCCACCAGTTCCGCTCTCCACTCTGTCTCTGGTGAATCATCTCACCATCACCCCTTGCACCTCTGGCCTATACCCAAGTTCTTGTATGCATAAATAAAATAAATCTTTTAAAAAGAATCACCTCAGGAATTTAAAAAATATAAATAGGTACCTGGATAACTCCCCGACCTACTGAATCCGAGCTTCTGAGGATGGGGCTAAGGCGCTGTGATTCTGAATACTCTGTGGGTGGTGACAGCACAGCCAATGTTGACAATGGCTAGGACCACATCTTGCTCCACTCTGGCCTGCTTCCCCACGGTCAGCTTACAGAGGCAGCCACTTAGGTTCACATTCTAAAGAAGATACTAACAAATAATGAGCTGGACAAAGGGCAGAAGTAGAGCCAGCTGGCACCAGGCTCTGGGCTCAAAGGCAGACCCGTGGGTGACCTTTTTCCTGCCACTGATTCTTGTGTCATCTAGGACACATTCCTTTGCTCCTCTCAGCCTATTCCCTCATCTACCTAAGGGTGACAATTATAGTAACTGTCTCCCTTGGTAGGACAAAAGGAGATGGTGCCTGCAGAGCACTTGACACATCCAGTGTTCCACAGAGGGTAGCCGATATAATCAAGGTTATAAACCAGGTGGGTGTTTGTGGAAAAAAGGTGACTGGCCTGCAGGACACATCTTCTTAGGTTGGCCTGCTGGGCCGACCTGGGATTGTCCTTTACACTTGGGTCTCGATTAGGCAATCTGAGAGGCTGGCATTGGGGGCAATAGTTCAGAGCCTGCCTGTGTGCCAAATATGGTACTAAGGAGTGTGCATGCACGTCTCATTTCATTCTCACAACCACCCCATGAAGTAGGTACGACTACCCTTCCCAATTAACAGAAAATGAAAATGAGTCACAGAGAGGCCAAGTTGGTTACCCCAGTCACCTGGCCAAGAATTTGCAGGGGGGTGGTCATGCCCTACACCTCCCTGAACAAGCCACTGATGCTTTTCTGTGTCTACCATTTAGCTTTGCTTTGGTGAAAGACAAGCTGTATCAACAGAAAGAGCCTGTTATCAGCTCCGTGCACACCAAGGTGAAAGGGATAGCGGAGGTGAAGGAGACTCTGGAGAAGGGGATGAAGGAGACAGTCCGGAGTATCTTCGACACTGCGGATTATACCTTCCCCGTGCAGGTGAGCCCTTGACAGCATCCTCCCTGGTCACTATCACCAGGGCCTCGCCACCCCCGCTCCTGGGGCCTAGAGCCTCACTCCAGAAAAACACTGGCTCTATTTTAAAAGCGCCTGAAAATCCCAACTGAGAAAATCTAAAAATTGCAAAATTGGGTCAGATCCAGATGCTCCAAGGAGACGCTTCTTTGCTTTATCAAGTCCTACAGGGTTTCTCAAAATAGCAGTGTGTCCTGGTGCAGTTTAAACAGGATTTGGTTTGCTCACACTTGATTTATAAAGTTTTTCAGGCATGGGACCATCAAGCCAGCAAGGTCTGCCTAGATACAGAAAGGCAAAGAAATGGCTCCCTAGTGAGGACCAGCCCTTCTGTGCTGTTTGTGCAGTATTTTATCAACAAATATGTCTCCAGGAAGACATTCTAGGGTGTGCCTTTTGCACAAAGGAAGATAGAGATGGCAAATAAAGGAGGGGTCTGGATCACATAGAAAGGGCATGAGGTGATGTAAATCTGCAAGAAGAGAAAATGAAAGTGACATCTCTAAAAGGAGAAATCAAAGCGGGGCTGAGAACACCAATGAACAGCTGGGAGGCGGGAGGGACAAGAGGGCGCATTTGCAGATTGTGGGAGCTGGGAAGCTTTGCAAAACATAACCCCCAAGGTGCTGGCTGTTTGTTTCTGACAGTGGGTCATTAAAACCTCCAGCTACTTCCCAGGTGGTGAGATGTCCCACTGCCCTTTAATTAAAGTCCTGGATAATCTAAACAGCTTTCTGATGAAGCTGACACCCCCACCTCCACCTCCCCTGGTCTCCTGAGTTTCAATTTAATGGGATTTTACTGTGTCCAAAAAATGAAAAGGCTGCTTTTGAGGCTGAAATGGAAAGTGAATACTCAATCAGTGCGAAAGCTCCCGTGTTCCCCCTCGGCTCAGCAGGGCGGCTCATCCAGCTTTGATATTAAGCCTTCTGCGTAGTCCGAGCTGCTCCCTGGACCCAGATTTCTAGACTAAAGCTTCGCCCCCAGGCACTTAGCAAGCTGGATTATTATAATTAAGTAGTTCTGTTCTCTGAGGCTTTGCGTTAGCCCTCTCTTCTTTTTCTCCACAGGGGAACTCTTTCTTTGTGATGACGAACTTTCGCAAGACTGAAGGCCAAGAGCAGGGGTTATGTCCTGAGGTAAGGAGGGGCCCTGGAGTGGCTGGATGGGTGTTAGAGATCCTGGAGGAGGCAAAGGTTGGAGGATGTGGGCCTTGAAACCCAGGGTGTAGCTGAACCCACAGATAACTTCTGAGTACCCGCCTCTTTTGTGTGGCTGTAGGTCTGGGCTGGATAGAAGGGTGAGAAGACATGGCATGTCTCTCTCTGCAGCCACCAGATGGTTGCCTCACCCCTGGGTCTCCAACTCCCACACAAGGAGCCTTGCAGGCTACAGCCCTGCTCTCTCTGTCACTTGCTCCCAGTACAGCTCATGCCACAGTGGCCCTTGGCACACGAGCAGCATTTTACATTTCACTGAAGCCTCACAGTGACTGTAAGAGGGCAACTGCGTTCCCTGCCCCATTTGACAGGTCACAACACAGATCAGAGAGGTTACGTGACTTCCCCAAGGTCACCCAGCTTGCCAGAGGCAGAGCCAGGCTAGGAACCCAGGTGTCCTCATTCCCAGGTTCTACCCCAGTCTGCTGTGAACTGCAGGACCAGTCCTGGGAAGCTTTTTTAGGTGGCTCAAGTTTGCCTTTCATCCCCCTTCTTAGAGTTTCATCCTCTATGTCAGTGACATGCCTCCATCTGACCTCACTTCCCCTGCCATGTAGTCTTCCCCCGCTGGGTTTTGTTCTTTCCATCTCCTGACCTTCCCCTACCTCTTCCTGGAAAACTTTGCCAGGGACCAGTCCCAACATGCAGGGGTACAGCGTTGCAGCCATCTCAATCTGGGTCCCCCACCTTGGGGAGCCTTACCTGCAGACGTGGCTCATGAGCCCACTCTGGTGACAGGACCAGATCTGGGAGTTTCTGAGAGCTTGCAGAGTCTCTCCATATCATCTTTTCAAATTTCCTAACAGCTCAGGTTTCCCCAAACCAAAAGAAGCTTCTAGATCTCCCAAGCTTAGGCCTAGAGCTGGATAGTATTATCCCACTGCTTTTCTATTGGCTTTTTAGTCACAGCACCATGGTGGAGAAACACTTCACCTCCCAAAAGCAAGTAACAAGGAATTTGTGACCAGACTTACCCCACGCAACCACCACCAAGAGAGACGATGAAAACTAGTATTTAAAAAAAATTTCAGGGTTTCATCTGGACAGCAAGTTAGATTTGGTCTAACTTCATTCCTTAGATTTCCTTCCAGTTGATAATCAAAACAGCAAAGGTTTCCAGAAGCCACAGGGAACGAGCATTCACACACACACACACACACCATTTATCACGCCCCACTATGTGTCAGGCACTTGGGCTACGAAGAGATGACCCAGTCCAGCTGGGGGATGTGCTGAGTGACAGGAAGAAAGAAGCCACTGGGGAAGAAAAGAGAACTCGGAGAGAGTGAGAACTACAAGCTTACTGAGCAGGGGCTACGTGCGAAGCCCTTTCTTTTCATAACACATTTCATTTCAACACTACGAAAGAAAAATCCTGCCCCTCCTCTTACAGGGGAGGCAAAGGAGGCTCAGAGAGATGAAGTGACATGGCCGAGTTGCTCACCTAGAAAACAGTGCCCCTTTCAATAAACCCAGGGTTCAAGCCTGGATCCTCCCCCAAATCTTGCTAAAAGTCACCAATTGCATAGAAACAGCCATTTTTACACCCAAATCATGTTCTGGTTTTCCTGACTTGCCATTACTGCCCCCTAGAAAACCCAGTCAGTGCTGGCTGGCATCCCTTAGTTCCACACTTCCTGCTAAGCTTTGGAGCTGTCTCTTTGGGTTGATTGGGCAGCACAGGGAAGCTTGAACCAGGCCACCTGCTCTCCACCCCAAGGACCATCCTTGAAAGTGGTCCCTGGCTGCCTTGACATCCCTTTTTATATTTTAATTTATTTTTATTTTTTTTGAGTTAGAATTCACATACCATACAATTCATCATTATAAAATGAACAGTTCATTAGGCTTTAGTCTATTCACAGAGCTGTGCAACCATCATCGCTGTCAGAATGTCCTTATCACCCCCAAAAGAAACCTGGTACCCACTAGTAGTCACTCCCATTCCCCTCACCCCCACCCCCTGGAAACCACTGACCTACTCTGTCTCGATGGATCTGCCTATTCTGGACATAAAGTATACATGTCATATAATCACATAATATATGACCTTATGTGTCTGATTTCTTTCAATTAGCATCATGTCTTCAAGTTTCAGCCACCTCGGAGAAGGTATCAGTAGTCCATTCCTTCTTATGGCTGAATAATATTCCACTGCATGGACATACTGCATTTTATTTTTCCGTGCATCCTTTGATGGGCATCTGGGCTGTTTCCACATTTCACCTATTGTGAATTGTGCTGTTATGAACATCTGCATGCAAGTTTTTGCGTGGACATAGGCATGCACTTTTCTCTGTCATAGGGTCACATGATGCTTACTCCTCACTATCCTGTCCTTCTCCCGCAGTACCCCACCCGCAGGACGATCTGTTCCTCTGACAGCAACTGTAAAAAGGGGCGGATGAACCCACAGAGCAATGGTATGTTCTGTCTCTTTCCCTGACACCCAGGTGGCTGGTCTAGGATCTTGGCGACAGTCACAATGCAGCACTCATGTCTTTAGTCCCTGGCTCTGCTGCCTACATTCACCCTCATCAGGCCCTAGGCCTGTGTCTCCTGGGCTCTGTCTCTAGAAGACCAGCTGCCAACAGTGAATGTGATTCATTCACAGTGAGGTTGGCTCCTGAAAACTTGCAGAGTGCCTGCAGGTTCTCACTGATAGAAAATCGAAGAGTTCATAGCCTCATCCTAGCAGTCTAAAAGCCTGACTCTCCCCAGGTTGAGGAACTGAGCTTGTACCCCCAGGGTACCTACAGCAATACCTGTGTTAACCAGCAGAATTTCCATTATCTCTTGTTTTAACTGAAAAAGACACATAATGATAAAAAAAAATAAATTACCACCTCTATAAGAAAACTAGTTAGTGGTTCTAACATACACAGACCACAAAGGCATGTGAATGTTACATTCTATTCCGTACTCTGTGTGTGCTGGAGCTTTGTCCAGATCATTTCAAGGTTAATTACTATGAACGCTCCCCTTTAAGTCTGGTAGTGACCCTGGTGCTCCAGGAAGATGCTGTGCCATGTGCATTCCGTGGTATGCACATCCCAGGCATGTGCCATGTACCTTGAGAGGGACTCAAGTGGTCTTTTAGAAGCCAAGGTCTAGTCCACTTATGCCAGGTGAGAGAATATACCCTGCTTGGCTCTCCTCTCAGGCATCTTTTCTTGCAGAGAATCCAGAGGAGTCAACAGCCTCCAGGATCTTCCTGACTTCAAAGTCTCTGATCCTTTTTTTAAAAAAGCTTACTATTTGATGTGCTTCTTGCTGGTTTGCCTTCTGTAAACTTGTGGTTCACATGGGTTTCATGGAAATGACATGGGAAATGACATGGGTTGGGTTGAAAAGCATCATGGCCTCTGGCTTGGGTTAAGGATGTACCTTCTGGGGTGATTCCTCCCCTTGTCTTTCACACCTATGCTCCTGCAAGCCCTTGACCTCCACAGGAATCCAGACGGGAAAGTGCGTGAAATATTATAACACTACGAAAAAAACCTGTGAAGTCACCGCCTGGTGTCCCATCGAGACAGCAGAAGAAGCCCCCAAGTGAGTGGCAGGGTGGGGACAGGATGGCCGGGGCAGTGAGCAGATGAGGTTGGCCAGGTGCTGCTCACTCCCTCTTCCCTTCTTCCAGCAGCCCCACAAGCCCTGGGTCTGACTGGTGTGGCGACCCTTGTGCCAGGCACACTGATGGTCTCGGGGAGGGCCAGGCTAGTTGTTAAAAGAGTGAAACAATTCTCTACCAGCTGGTAAACAGCCACTACCTTGAGCACCCATGGGTGTCCCTGCCCCCCTGCTATCTCAGCACTTTCCAGGGCACCTCCAGACCCCTCCTCAAGCGCTAGAGAAGGGTCCATACAGAGTAATTAAGGATGAGGAGGTGGGGGGTGGGGAGAGAAGGAAAAGGAAGGGGAAGCACTGGAAAGGAGGAAGGAATGGGAAGTTTTCTTAAATGGTCACAGTGACAGAGATGTGGTGGTCCCTATACTGCTTAGTCCCGCTAACATGCAAGACCAGGCCAGAGGGCAGAACCTGATGTTAAATCCCAGAAACTACAAGGACCTGCCGCAGACCAGCACAGCAGTGAACGATGAGGCCGTCTCAGGGTTGAGAGACTGCGCAGGGTGGTTAGGGATTCGGCTAAAGAAATGACAAACAGACACACTTCAAGAGTGAAAATCTGAGTGTAATTTAATTTGAGTTGGTGACCAGTATATATATGTTTTCTAAAAGCATAGGAATGGCGAACATCAGTGAAGAAATCAGCTTGCTTATAGGTTTAGCTTATCATTGACAGGGCAGTGATTTACATCTGGACCCAGGCGCATTCCTAAGTAGTTAGGCTATTAATTTTTTTTTTTTATGTGATTACTTTTTTGTTTAAACTACTCACTACCACTAAATTATTATTAATTAGCACGGGTGAGTTTTACTTTTCACATTGTAATATTTTTATCATTAAGATTAATACTAACAAGGCTAAACATGCAACAGAGAAATTATTAAGTTAACAGTTCTATTAATACACAGAGTTTAGTAACGTTTCATTTGAATTAGCCTAGTTATTAGATTTCGTATGTTCTTTTTTAATCGGCAAACCAATGACCTTTTTAGACAGAGAAAGAGAAAAGATTTTAGAAAGACAGTTGTAGTAGAATAAAGTTTGTGGGTCTTGAGAAGGTGAGATAAGTTTCCCTGCGGGCAGCATTCCTGTAGTGGCTCCTGGTGGTCTTTATCTTTCAACAGGCTTCCGTCTTATCTATGTCTTCAGGGGGTTTTGCTGTTCTCCCCCTGCACGCTGGTTCCTTGCCCAGCTGGACCTAGGGAGCGTGGCGCAAGCCATTAGCCCTAAAGGTCACTGCAGGGGGAGGTGCAGCAAGGACCAGTCCATTTTAGCATTTCAGCAGAAAACAGAGACCTGGATTCAAATCCTGGCTCTGGTGTTTCCTTGCTGTGTGACCTTGAGCAAATGGCTTAACCTCTCTCTCTGAGCTTAACGCTCCTCACCTTTAAAATAAGGATAATAATAGCACCCACCTCACTGGGCTGTTGTGAGAATTAAGTGAGGCGTTACTTGTAGAGTGACTGCAGGGTAACTTCATGCCTGCCATGTAGTAAGTGCTTGATAACTGTTAAAAACAAAATAACCTTCCCCAAATGGAGGTGCTTGTTCTAGGTCCCACCAAGACCTCAACACCTAACCTGACCACAGTTTCAGTCTCTGCCCTCTCCCTAGTAGTAGTAATTGGTCATATTTTCCATCCCCCAAGGAAAGAGGAGATAATCTGATATAGGACCTTTATCTGTACACCACAGATAGGTTATCTAAGCCTGAAATAATTCCTCTTTCCTATTTTGTACACCTTTTGACTATAAAAACCTTTCATTTTTGGGCCTCCCTGGTGGCGCAAAAGGTTGTCTCAGCACTATGAAGTTATTGGCAGCCACTGAAGTACAAGCTCGATCCCCTGCCAGGGAGATACCCACATGGTGCAGTATACCTCTCCAGTCTCCCCACTGCTCCCCTCAGCAGTGTATTTCAGTAGATCCACCTGTTCTGCTCCCCACTCTGTCTCTCGTGAATCCTCGCACCCCCCACACCTCTGGCCTATACCCCAGTTCTTGTATGCATAAATAAATATATCTTTAAAAAAAAAAAAAACCCTTTCATTTTTGTATAGCTCTCCAGAACACTTTTCTGCTTGCTAGATGGGATGCTGCCCAACTCACAAACTATTTAGTAAAGTAAATTAGATCTTTCAAATTAACTTATTAGGATTTTTATTATTTACACACACACACACACACACACACACACAATCTGTCCCGAGCAGTGTGGTGGTTCTAGACCAGCGCTGTCCAGCGGAACTTTCCATAATGATGGAAATGCTCTGTACTTGCACTGACCAATGTGGGAGCCACTAGTTACATGTGGCCATTGAGCACTTTGAAGTGGCTACTGTAGTTGAACACAAATTTTTAATTTAATATGATCTTAATTTTAATACCACCCATGCCTAGGGGATGTTGGACTGTATTGGCCGGTGCAGCTCTAGGTGAGTGTGACTCAAGATTATACCATTGACAAAGAGCAGACGTGCCCAACTGATGTTTTAGAAGATTCAGGCAAAGGTCCCCAAATGTCAGCATGGAAGCATGAGGCAGTGTTAGCTGGTCTGGAGAGACCCAGGTTGCCAGGCTCATTTCTAGGTCTGGGAAGTTTCTTTGTCACAGAAGAAACTGTCCACGGCCTGGGTAGGATGTCAACCTATACTCAAGTAGCCCCTGGTTCAAGGGAAGGGAGCTCTTGATTATCGGCGCTTTTCAGTCCTGGTTCTGCCAATGCATTTGTTAGATAAACACTGTCTCCAGAGATGGTCCTACACCCATCCTATATGACCTTGGGCAAGCAGCTCCCTGAACTTCACCTTCATATGTTATATGAAGGGATTACTAAGATGGCTCACTGAACTGTTCATCCAACACAGCCATGAGCAAGTAGTAGGTATGAGCTCCTTATTTCACATGGAACACAAGAGACTATGCTAGATCTTATGTAAAACACAAAGAGACATAGAACAAAGCAGGTCCTTCCTCTTCCCCTACCCCCCAACCCCAGCTCCAGCTATTCTTTCTTCCACATTGGCTCTCCTCACACCTGGGGCCAGGGAACTCTAGGGTTACACTGTCCTAACTAGAGAAAATGAGTTTTTCTTTCCTAGTAGTTCCTAGAAAAGCCCTGGAATGTTCTCAGTGGCCTAAATCATGTGCTAATCTATGGACCAATCACTGTGACCGAGGGGGACGGGAAAGACCAGTTAGCCAGCCCTGCCTGGGTCCCTTGCCCACCCTGAGAGCTCTAAGAATGGGCAGGAGATGAACTCCTCCCCACCCAAGCCTGTGAGCTGAGAGCAAGAGACCTGACTTCGCCAAGGGGAGAAATGCTACTGTCAGAGGGAAATGGATGCTGCTCAGGCAAAACTTGCAATGTTTTCTATAGTTATAGCCCAAATAGAGTGAAAGTTGGACTCTGGAAATGCTGGAATCACCTCCTGTAGTATCTCACACAGCATCTATGGGTCAGAAATCTGGGTGGTTCTGGGGGAGGGTGTCAGCTTTCCGTCATTCTTGACGCCCCTTTCAAATGCACTCCACCCTTTCCTGGTGTTTCTACCAATATGTATCTGCCACTGACTCAGGCATGCCAGGCATCAGGTTACCAGCCGTATTTTATGGAGCCAGTTCTCTCCATCTTTCACAGGCTGTCAACTGTATTAGCACAAATCCTCATCTTGCTCTTCACTATACCCCCAATGCCCAGCCCCATGCCCAGGACAATAAATATGTGTTGAATGAATGGATAGAATGATGGGCAGATGGACAGATGAATATAGATGGATGGGTGGATGAATGAATGGATAGATGGATGGGTAGACCTTCCTTCACTGTGCCCATTTGGGTACGAGAAAAGAAAACGATTGTCCCAGCCCTCTAGGAATGCCAAGCCTATTGGGAAAGACGCAAATGGGAGTGCCGGAGCTGGCATGCACTCTGAGGCAATTATGTTCATCCTGTTCCAACCCCAAGTTCAGTGATGTCCCACTGGTAGCCTGGAATCAGCTATGGTGGGAGAATTTATACCACAATAATCATAAATGTCACCACAATAATTTATACCACAATAATCATAAATGCCACCCATCAGGGCTTTTATTTTCCTGGAGATCTGGTTATTAAACATTTACCAGCATACCACTGCATGCACCTCAACTTATCATGCCAGAGGCGTTAGAGTAAGTGATGCAGGGTCTCAAGGAGAGAGAAATTCTTTCTGCACAAGCTAGAGAATTTGGAAAGGTTTTGCCCACTAGAGTACATTTCTCTTCACTTTTCAAATGAGCCACGTGTGAAACCAGAGCCTCTGGTCCCATCGGCTCACTATTCCTGTGGTCCCCATGGTCACGGCTCTCCATCTTGCATTCTCTCTCAGGCCCGCACTCTTGAACAGTGCTGAAAACTTCACTGTGTTCATCAAGAATAATATCGACTTCCCTGGCCACAACTATACCACGTAAGTGCCCACATTATCTGGCCATATTAGTTTATCAACTTCTGTGGAACAAATCATCCCAGCACTTAGAAGCTTAAAACAACAGACATGTAGTATCTCACATAGCATTTGTGGGTGAGAAATCTGGATGGTTCTGGGTGAGGGTGTCAGGTTGTAGTCAGGCTGTCAGCAGGGACTGCACTCACATCTGGGCTTGGTTGGGGCTGGAGAATCTTCTTCCAAGCTCTTCCAAGTTGTCTGCAGGAGGGTTCAGTTCCTCTCCATGTAGACCTCTCTCCCTAGGGCTGCTTTGAGGATCTATAGTACGTGATGGCTGGTTTCTGCAGAGTGAGTGCCCCAGAGAGACAGAGAGCAAGCAAGTAACCAAGATGGAAGTGACAGTCTTTTATCCCCATCTTGGACATGACACACCATCACTTCTGCCATATGCCACTGGTCACACAGACCAACTATACAGTTCTGGAGGGGACTACACGAAGGTGTGAATCCCAGGAGGCAAATATCATGGGGGCCTCTGTGGAGCTCGGCTACCACACTGGCCCACTCCTCTGAAAGAGGTGGAGCCCACTTTTCAAGAGATTTGTTTGTTTGTTTTCCATTATGTGCAGGAGAAACATCTTTCCAGGTCTAAACACCACTTGCACTTTTCACAAGACTCGGGATCCATTGTGTCCCATTTTCCGACTAGGAGATATCTTCCAAGAAACAGGCGATAATTTTTCAGATGTGGCCATTAAGGTTGGTGATGCCTTTGGGATGTGGTGGTTGGGGTGAGCAGTGGGGGTGGGGTAGAGGTGTCAAGAGGTAGAGGATGGTGAATTGCCAAGAGGCTGGGCCACTGGGTCTTAAGCATCTGACCTGCAGTTATGGAACATGAAGTAAATCCATGCATGGTGCCAAGGACTTTCCCTGTCTTCCCTGATGCAGTACCACAGCCACCCTAAGAGCAAGATGCTAGGTGGATCTGTTTTCTGTGGTTGCTGTAACAAATGGCCACAGACTCAATAGCTTAAAACAACACTGTTTTTTTTTAATCCTTCTGGAGGACAGAAGTTCAAAATCAAGACATTGCAGGGTCGTGCTCCCTCCCAAGGATCTAGGGGAGAATCCATTTTCTTGCCTTTCCACCTTCAAGAGTTGCCCTCCTTGCGTTTCTTGGCTCGCAGTCCCTCTTCCAGCCTGGAAGCCAGCAGCATGGCATCTGGTTTCTTATCCCATGTCAAATTTCCCTCTGCCAGAGTCTTTAGAAGAGAGAGTATTTAGGGCCCTGGCAGACAAACCAGGGTAATCCCTCCATCACAAGGGCCTTAAACCTTAACCTCTTGCCATAAAAGGTAACACGTTTGGAGGTCCAGGGAATAGGAGTATCTTTGGGAGGCATTACTCAGATGACCACTCTTGAATTGATCAGGATTCTCCTAGTTGAAAGTTATAGAAATCCAACTCAAATGATGTAGTAAAATAGATTTAAAAAAGGAACACTGGGGGCAAATAACAGAAACCAAAGTCAACTGGCTTGAGTGTGAAAGTTCAGACTAAGGAATCTGCAGAGACCAAAAGTAGATTGATGGCTGCCTAGGGCTGAGAGAGCAGATAAAAAGGGATGAAGGTGATGAAAATATATAAAATTAACGGTGGTGATGATTACGCATATCCACGAATATGCTAAGAACTCTTGAATTGTACACTTTAAAGTGAGCAAACTGTGTGTGAACTACATCTCACTAAAGCTGTTGGAACAAAAAAAAAAGAGATAAACAAGCAAAATGTGTTTAGGAAGATGTGTAGACAGTTTGGCTTGAGAACCTTCTCTAGGGGAGGGCTGGGACAGAAAGCAGAAAAGACATGTAAAAGAACCCTTGTAAGAATTGTGAGAACTGGGCCTCCCTGATGGCACAGGCGGTTGAGTGCAGCCCTGTGAAGCTGTCCATCAGCCTCTGCAGTGCGGGTCCAATCTCTGCTAGCCACAGAGTTACCAACATGGTGCTGCAGACCTCTCCTGTCTTGCCCATTGCTTCCCTCAGCAGTGTATTTCGTCAGTCTGCCTGCTCTGTTCCCCGCTCTGTCTCTGGTGAATCTTCTCACCCTCCCGCACATCTGACCTGTATCCCGGTTTTTGTATAAATAAATAAATCTTAAAAAAAGAAATTCTGAAAATTTGTAAGAATTCCAGAATTACAAGTTTAATTTTATCTTTAAAGGGGTGGGGGGGGGTCATGAAGAGTGTTTGATTCTGGTTGTGGTTTTGTTAAAACAAGTTTTGTCTCCCACAGTGATCAGTGCCAGGCAGGGAGATGTCCGTGGCCGTGTGGCCACATACGGCAGGTTACAGCTCGTCTCTGTGTGTCTTCCCCAGGGAGGAATCATGGGCATTGAGATCTACTGGGACTGCAACCTGGACAGGTGGTTTCAGCACTGCCGTCCAAAATACAGCTTCCGTCGCCTTGACGACAAGAGCAGTGAGTCCTTGTACCCTGGCTACAACTTCAGGTAACAGCGCTCGGCATCGGCCTGGCCACACTAAGCGTTCCAGGGACCTTTCAGACCCAGCTGAACTGCATTTCCAGCAGCCAGTAAGACTTGCTGCATTTCCCTACACAGCAAGCTGATGGTGAAAGGCTCCCTTTAAGAGCAAGGCGGTGACCAAATTGTATGAATTTCTTCCTTTTTCGTTATTAGAGAGGCACACTGTGTGTAAGACAAAAACAAAACTTGGGCAACAGGAAGAAGCAGAGAGATGATAAAAAGTCCTCATAATTCCTCTCCCAAGACATCAACGAGGAAAACCCCTCTGGCACATTTTCCTTCAAAGCCTCTTTCATAGGCTTATATGAGATCATATCATACTCACAACATGGCAACTGTGGGTTTTTTTACATACCTGGTGACACTCAAAATTCTTTGTGACCACTATGTTAATAATCGTAATATTCATTTGTGTGAGTGTAATGAAAATAAAGCTATACTTCAGGGAGTCTTCTAGATCCCATGTACTCTTTACCACCACCTCTAAACCTCACAGCTCTGGAGGGTGGGCTCTAGCGTACCAGCTAAAGCTGAGAAAGGTGAAATAATTTTCCCAAGACCCTTAAATTAGTAAAATTACCATCACCCCAAGCTAGGCCACACTGACCCCACCCCAGATTGTGATTTTCTCACTTCTTCCCCCGTGATTGGACATTTGGGGTGTTGCCAATGTTTCTATTATACATAACCCTGCAGTGTATATCTCTATACATAAATCTTGGTTTGAATACCAGAGTGCTTCCTGAGGATAAAATTCGACAAGTAGAATTACTGGAGCAAAGATGATGAGCATTTTATCATATGATTTCGGGTTTTAAAAAAGTCTGTGCTTTTCATTTCTGGGATTTATATTTGATTCTTTTTCAAACACATGTGCTATAGCTTTGGTGACGTCTGTTCTTAGCTACGTACATGACTCCTTTTGTCCATTTTACTGTATCCATGCTGACCTGGTATCCATGGTAACTTGGGAGTTTCTCCTTGTGGGACTTTGGAATATCTGTTGGGGGCTTCAGCACAAATGGTCTTGTGCAAAGACTGTGTATTCTGGAAGAGAAGGAGACAGTTCTGTGGGGTGATGATGTAATACTGCAGCCTGCCAGAAATGTATGACATTAACCAATTAGGAACCAGTGTCTAGTCTAATTCCTGGACACTGGAGTCTTCACTCCCTAAGCCATCCCGGCTCCCTTGTGACTTCAGGCTTCTGTAGCCTCAGCTCCCTTCTCCAGAAGGGAGTTTGTGTTAAAACTCTAGTTCCTCAGATACAGACCTGGTTCGGCCACTCCTAGGAGTCACATGGCTTCAGTCCTGACTCATTAACCATCTTGACCACCTAGAAAATGCTTCCCTTGTTTTGAAGTCAGTAATACATTGACTGAACTTTTTGTTTTATTTTGCAGTCCTTTGTGTGCAGGGTGGGCGGTGCTGGTGGAAGTGGTTGGTTTCCTGGACTAGCCCATGCTGCCATCTTGATTGCAAGTCCTTTTTGGCAAGAGCCTCTTAGAGACCCCTGACCCTTGGGTCTCATTGCTTCCTCACCTGCAGTCTTGTCTTGCTTTTTAATTTCTCTGTGATGCTTCATGTTTGCTTCTGGCTTCTGACTTCAACCCTATGAATTCTCTGGTATCCTGGTTTGCTTTCACTCTTAAGCTGGCGGCTACTGGTTTGGTGCTGATCTGTTCTTGCTTTGACCTCTGCACAGCTTACTCCTCTGCTCCAGACTTTTGTCAGGCGGTGCCATTCTAATCCAGTTTCCACAGTACCTCCTGCATCTGAATCATTTACTCAGCCTGCTCCTACAATTCTGTCCCAGCACGAACTTAACACTTCCAAGGCCCATGATTGCCTTGGGAGCCAGGCAGGTTTCTGTGACTGTGGTTATGGTAGGTCATGTTGTGCTCTGGTTCCAGAAACCAAGTAGGCTTATGCTGTCCCCTTTCAGAAAGAGTTGCCAAGTAGGTCCCAAGTATAATTGTTACGCAATTTGCATATGAAGCTGGCAGGACATTCATACTGGCCTTCCTCATCCATTCATCAACTATATATTGAGGGAAAAATTATTTGTGGTGCCAGTGGTTATACTGGTAAACAAAAACAGAAAAAGTTACCATTCTATAAAGTATATAGGATACCTTATATTCTAGCAGGACATAAATGTTAATATATTTTAAGTACTATGTAGAAGACAAACTTCTAAGTAAATGGAAAAAAAAAACTTTGACAAGTCAGCATCATTACTCATCAGAGAAATGCAGATTTAAACCACAGTGAGGTATCACCACACAGTCAGCAGAATGAAATTTCAAGACTGGCAATTCCAAATATGGAAAGGAAGGGTAGCAACTGGAACTGTCCTGATGGGAGGGCTCTGTGGTTCAACCACACTGAGAACTGTCTGGAAGTTTCTCATCAAGTTAAATAGACACCTACCCCATGACCTAGAGAAAGGAAACACATGTCCACATGCAGATTTGTGCACGGGGATGTCACAGCAGCACTATCCACATAAGCCAAACTCTGGAAACCGCCCAGACTGCAACCATAAGTGAAGGGAGAAATAAATGGTGGTATATTTATATACTAAAACACAACTTAGGTTAAAGAAGGGACAAAGTACTGGCACAGGCAACAACATAGATGCGTTCCACGGATGGGATGCTGACTGCAGAGCCCAACCCAAAGTAGCACAGGCTGAGATGCTGTGTGTGTGAAGAGCAAGAACAGGCAGCGCTTATCTGTGGTGGGAAAGAACAGTGCTGCTGGGCCGGGACGTAGGGGCGGGGAGGAGAGGAAGGACTAATTAGAAAGGAGCACAAGAAAGTTTTCTGAGATCATGGAATGTTTTTAGATCTTAATGGGGTAAAGGTCATATAGGATACTCGTCAAAACTTGAACAGAATCCTGAGGACTTGTGCCTCTTATTATATTCTTATATTGTATAATAAATCCAACAAGACAATTTCAGATAATAATTAATGATGTGAAGGAAATCAAACAGGCTAGTGTGGTGGGGGGGGTGGTAGGCAACCAGAGAAAGCCTCTCTAGGCTCAGGGTGGGACGCCTGGAGGCATACACTTTCCTGAGGATTGTACTTTCCTAATTAAGAGGAAGAGAAACTGAGCATATAGCAGCCCATGTTAAGAGAATCCATTTACAAACAATTTTAATATCTCTGAATAGCTTTAGTATTAATAGACCAGACCAATAGTTCTCAAAGTGTAGGAACTTGGTAGAGATGCAAATTCTCAGGCTCTACCTACTGAGTCACACAGTCTGGGATTGTCTTCATAAGTCCTCCAGGTTATTCTAGTGCATGCTCACCTTTAAGAATCGCTGATCTAGACCCTCCATCCTCCAAGGGGCCTGGAACCAGCAGCCTGGGCCTCATCTGGAAGTTTGCTATGATGTGGAACCTCAGGCTGCATCAAAATCTGTATCTTAACGAGATTCCCAGGAAACTCAGACACACATTACACTTTGAGAAGTGCTGGTCTAGACTGTATCATCCAGCCTCCCAACCACATTTCTTCTCAGATGTTTCACCTGACTGTATTTTGTCGCTACAATTGGGTTCTTTGTTTCCTGGAGAAATGAATAATATAAAGTGTCTATGTAATCCCTGCATACGAGTGCATTAGAAGGCAGGCACACACACACACACACACACACACACACCCCATACACACACAGAGCTAGCATACTTACCGATTTCTAGAGAGGTCTACTCAAGCAACTGGGACTATTCAATGTTATTTTTTTTAAAGATTTATTTATTTATTTATACAAGCACTGGGTACAGTCAGAAGTGAGGGAGGATGAGAGAATTCACCAGAGCCAGAACAGGGAACAGAACAGGCAGACTGATGAAATACACTGCTGAGGGGAGCAGCAGAAGCAGCAGGAGAGGTCTGTGCGCCATGTGGGACCCTCACCGGTGGCCGGGGATCTAACTGGTGCTGCAGAGGCCGCGGGCAGCTTCACAGCCCAGTGCTCAAACACTGCGCCACCAGGGGAGGCCCTATTCAATGTTATTTAAAGAAGCATCATAAATTAGCAGGTAGCCCTCAACTGGGTTCTAATTTTTATTTGTTTTTGGCCTGCATAATGTTTCAAAAGTTGAGACCTTCTACATAAATTCTGGATTTCCTACTTTTTATAAAAAGATTGTAAATCCATTTGGAAAAAACCAAACCATTTGCCAGCTCTGGGTTATCTCCCTCACAGAAGCACTGGGCTACAGTGCCAGGGGTTCCCTTTAGAAAGGGCATGGGTTTTGGGTTTTTGTGTTTGTTTGTTTGCCACTGTCCCCACAACTCCTTATTGTACCACTCATTTCTGTCTGGCCTACGGGCATCTGAGTTTGAGACCCTTGACTAAAGGCCAGCTGACGGCAAGACATAAAAGTCTTTTTGTCTCCTCTGTGTCAGTGGAGTTGCACCCAGAGCCCTGAGATCAGCTCCCAGTTTATAACATTTTGATCATTCCCTGCTGCTCTGCCGAATAGGCTTATGGCCATCAGCATAAGAGAGGACAGGATCAGTGCTCCCCTGGGCACCCTTGCAGGCTGCTTTCAGCATCAGCAGAAGCAGGGTAAGGTACCAACTGGGCCTTAGCCAGTGTCCCCTGCATCGCTGAGCTAAGAACATGACTCCTGGAGAGAGCTGAGCTTTCAGGAGAACTGAGGTTGATATTCTTTTAGAACAAAGTGCATTTGTTGTCTGCAGCGAGCACCAGAAGAAATCTTTGGCCAAAAATAAATTGTCGAGATCTGACATGTAGTTGGATAAGTTATTTCAAACAGCCACACAAAAGAGAAGAGGATTACAGGTTAAAGGAGGGGTCAAAAATTAAACTAAAATACAGGAAGTTAAAGAAAAGTTGATCACATCGCAGCATTTTGCCCTGTGCCACAAGATCTATGAGCAACATTCCTTCTTGGGTGAATGAGTGATTCGGTGTTTTGATGACCCATGGAACATGGAGCAGACCCACGAAGCGGGGGTCACTGCACCCCGGGTTCTGAGCGGGTCTGTGTGTGTGCTCCTTTCCTGTGCCTTCGATTTATAAGTCCTTCTCCTGGTGTTTCTGTTTCAATTTTCCCTTTCCGTTCTCTTATGAGGACAGTCGTTGTATTTAAGGTCCACTCTCAATCCAGATGAGCTCATTTTGAGATCCTTAATCACATCTGCAAAGACCCCCCCTTCCTCCAAACAAGGTCACTTTCACAGGCACAGGGGTAGGCAAGTGGGTGTATCTTGGCAGGGGACAAAGGAAGAATTATTCAATTTGTAAAAATCATCCTTGTTTAGGGCCTGGCTTTTCTCAGCATGGCCCACTGACCCCTGCCTCAGAAGCCCCTGGTACCTTACCGGAAATACAGACTTCTAGAAACATCTCAGACCTTCTGAAACTACCTATTGGCTGTGAGACCCGGAAATTTGCCTTTTGAACTCACTTCCCAGATGATTCGTGCCCTCCATTTGAGAACCATGGCACCAAGGCCCTGAAAGCAGAAACCCAAGTATTTACTGTCTGGTGTTTACCTCCCAGACAAACCCATGTAGGTAGAGAGGACACACCCCGGGGTGGGGAGCGGCCATGAGCGTTTGCCGCGTGTGCTAAAACCAAACTACTAAATAGAGCAGATGAGAAAATGGTCATGGGGTGAGAACAATCAGATGCAAAGGAATAGAAACCCCTCTGACCAGACACAGGCAGTAAAGCACCGAGAATAGCTCACTGATCCCCACATCAGACTGGGAGTTAAAAACAAGTTTCCGCTGTTCCCTACTACATTCTGGCAGAGCATCTGTTTTCTGTTTTCTTCTCACCACACACCTGTAAATAGACTGTGAATTAATAACGCAGAAAGAAAATATATATCCGTACCTAAAAAGGGGGGGGGAGATTTAAAAGTTTGAGGAGGCAGGTGGCTTTGGCTTCCTAATTATTCAGGAAGAACAAAACATACCAGCTTGTGGCTCTGGGGACAGCTGCATATTTGGGAGGATTGTGACTTGTACTCAGGTCTTGGCTTATAAAGGTGACGAAATGATGACATCCAGTGGTCAGTGCCACTGAAGATATCTAGTCCACTTCCCAAGAGGAGGGGCTCACCATGGTACCCAGGAGAAGCATCAGGTTTGGTCAGGAGCAGTGACGGGGAGCAAGGCCCAGGCCCTGCCTGTGTTTTCTCTGGGAAAGGCAAGCAGGGCTCAGGGAGCTCTGGACTCAAAGGCTTGTCTCTGGGGTCTACTCTCTGGTCCGAGGTGATTTGGGGCAGGAATACATGCTGGCTGTGTGAGAGTCAGATGAAGGAGTAGGTGGGGATAGGGGCTCACAGAACTATATTTTTTTCTATCCTTGCATAAGCTAGATCACATAGGAGGTATAAACAACTTTGGCTGTTTTTTTTGGCCTTGTGATAGTGGATGCTGGAGAGACATATGTAGAATCTTAAGGAAAAAAAGTTAGAACAGACTGCTGAGGTGCAGCTGTCCCCAGTCCAGTCATTAGTACCTAGGATTCACACCCCTGCCATTGTTCTAGAAGCCAGCCTGTTTTTTTCTCTTTAGGAATAATCCATTTGCTTGAAAGTTTTGTTTTTTCTCTTGTTGTTAATCCTGTACTGGTTTAAAATTGTTCACTTTCCTCTAAAAGCTCATTTCCCATCACTGGTGGTGGAATGGAGGTAATATGGGTTTGTGGCGCTTTGCTTCCAGGCGGTAAGAGAGCACCTGGCTCTCTGTGGTTGGATTTGCGGGTTTGGGTTGTGTTTCTCCATCTGCCCACTGTCCATCTGGACGAGGAAGATGAGGTCAGCTGCTGTTTGGAACTTTGTCTTTTCATCAAAGACCAGCAGTTTCAGATCCATTTATAAACAGATTCTTTCTCTCCTACAGATATGCCAAGTACTATAAGGAAAACAATGTGGAAAAAAGAACTCTGATTAAAGTCTTTGGGATCCGTTTTGACATCTTGGTTTTTGGCACCGTAAGTGTCTACTCCCCGCCACCAGCAGCTCTGTTCCTGCGGCTGTGTCCTAACTATTGCTGTAGGGTGTCAAGGGGTGAATGCTTCGGTCATAGCCACTAGCTGGCACTGGTATGAGAGAGGGGGGAGAAATGTCCGTGGAATCCTGTCCATGAAGAGCTCATCTGATGCGATTATGAGCAGGGTAGGAGGGGGGTAGAAAGCTAAAATTTAACTTTAAAAATTCTCTGATTTTTCAAGAGAGTAAAAGATATTCCTCTTCAAAATAGTTTGTAGGTAACAGAATCCATGTCGACTTGGCTTAAGAAGAAAGTTTTTTTAAGTTCACATAGATGAAAAATCCAGGGACAATTTCAGGTTTCAGGCATGGCTGGATCCAGATTTTTTTTTTAAGATTTATTTATTTTTATTTATACAAGCACTGGGTACAGTCAGAATCATGGGAGGGTGAGAGAATTCACCAGAGCCAGAGCGGGGAGCAAAACAGGCAGAAGGACCAAAGTACACTGCTGAGGGGAGCAGCGGGCAGCAGGAGAGGTCTGTGTGCCATGTGGGACCCTCGCCCAGTGGCCAGGGATCGAACCGGTGCTGCAGAGGCTGCGGGCAGCTTTGCAACCCACACTCAACCGCTGCGCCACCAGGGAGGCCCTGGATCCAGATGTTTCAACAATATCATCAGAAACCTGTCTCCCTCCATCTGTTACATATATTGTCCCCTATTTTGATGTCATCTTCAGCTGACCATCTCTACATGACGTGATCAGGTGTCTCCTTACGTCTCATCAGCTCAGCAGTTCAGCCAGAAGCCTCAGATGGTGGCCATGGACTTGGGATAGTTTAATATGGGCCACATGGTCATTGTTGAACAAATGACTGAGGATCATGCCATACTCTCATGGCTGACCTTGGACCAGTCTAAAATCAACCCTTTTTCCCCCAACTACATGGACCATATATGGACAGAGATAGTTTTCCAAAGGAAAACTGGAGTACTGTCTCCAGAAGAAGGAAGGAGGGAATGCTTGGTAAACAAAAAAATCAATAGATGCCCACAAGGCCTTGTCTGACAGCTTGTTATTTATGTAACATGGTGACAAGCAACACAATGAGAAGTCATGGAAAAGATAGAGAGACTGACCACTGAGAAGAAAAACCACAAGGACACCTAAGGGAAGAGTTTATGTGGACACTCCTTCCAAAGTCATCTCAAACCCCTTCCAGGGATAGCTCTTCTGAAACTCTTACTTTGGATAGAAAACCAACAGACCTTCAGTGGTTCTCCTCTCAATGCGTGGCCCGAGTGCTCCTTTGTCTAGGATTTATGCTTTCAAATGTATCCTGAAGGGAAGAGCCAGGAAGAACTGGAGCCATCTATGTGTTAGGGCAGAGGCACTGCTCTGAACTGTCCCCCCGTAACCTTTCCCTCTTTGTTTTCAGGGGGGGAAATTTGACATCATCCAGCTGGTCGTGTACATCGGCTCAACCCTCTCTTACTTTGGCTTGGTAAGAGGTTCTGTGCCCTCACCTTTATGAAAATGATTTGGCTACTGGATGTGTCGCTTACACGTTGAATATCAAGAAACCAAAGCGTCAAATAAAGTCAAACTAAGAACTAAGCCTAAAAAGCTGACTATAGAACCAAGGCTTCAGAGGGGACGGGGTGCAAGGCGAGGTGGGGCAGGGGCAAAGGCAAGGTGGGGATGGAGCACGACGGGCTACAGCAGTGGACTGTGGGTGTCTAGGCTGTGCATGCAGTGTGGTAACAACACCTGAGGGGGGGAGAGCCTGAACATCTAACACTATACAGGCAACCACGTAAACCAATGTGACCTCCAGAAGAAAGAAAACAGCAAATGATTTGGCCAGAAGTAGTTTCACTGACTTGGGGCTTATCTGGGTTTTTCCCAGGCCACTCTCTTTATTGACTTTCTCATCAGCACTTACTCAAGTAAATGCTGTGGCTCTCAAGTGTATCGCTTTTGCAAGTGCTGCGAGCCCTTTGCTGTCAACGAATACTACCACAAGAAGAAGTTTGAGAACATCGTGGCGCCCAAGTCGGTAAGGCTCATGGGGTCTGTGAGATGCCAGCACTTTAGTCCCTGACATCATTGAGAAATGTGTGCAGGTGAGTTCCAAATCCCAGGGACAAGTCGATGTGGATACACCTCTGGACTCTACCCTATCCCGCCACCTCTCAGAGGAATCCTTTGGTCTTAGAGAAGAGTAAAAACAAAATGGAGAAGCAATATAGAAAGACAGCAAATTTTTATGTTCTAGGATTTTTCATTTTTGTCAGATGTAACAGATTGGTACAGCCAGAAATGAGGGTACTGACTCTGGAGAACAATTTGGCAGTATCTAATGAATCAGGATATACTTCACAGCCTGGCCTGTCCACTTCTCCACCCCTGCCCTAGAGACACGCTCACATGTGTAGGTAAGTGGTACGTGTGTACCAGGTGCCCATCGCAGTGCTGACTAGCTGTGAGGCAAGAGCACCCACCCAAACATCCGAAAGTGAACGGTGAAATAAACTAGGATAAATCCACAGTGAAAATGCCTGGCACCAGCGTAGGAATTGAGGTAGATAGTAATAGCAATTGTTTACACCACACACTTTGAAGTGTTTTATGTATAGTAACTCACTGAATCTTCACAGCAACCCCATGTGAGTATTAGTAGCCCCATAGACAGATGCTACTGTTATCTCTGTCTCTAGATGAGAAATTAAGGTACCAGAAGGTTTGACCAAAGTCCTATAGCCAGTAAGTGGAAGAGCTGAAATTCACACTAGGCAAGCTGGTTTCAGAATCTCTGTTCATAATCACAAGCCAATATCCAAGACATTTGTTGAGAGGAAAAAAGTAAACTACAGATGGTATAATGCATAGGTTAAAAAAGAAACACAGACATAAACTAGTTCTGTGTATTTTCTACATATTATACACACACACATGCAGATGTAGATTCCATGTCTTAGATACTTATATATTTTATGCATTTTCTACATGTATTACAGACATATGGGGGAGATATGTATACAGAAATGTACTGGACACACAAAAAAGTGATAACAGTGATTGCTTCTGGAAAGAACCATAGAATGGGGAAGTAGTAAAGAAAATTTTAACTCATTTGTATGGCTTTGACTTAATTCATTTGAACTTTACTAAGAAGGTCCTTAAAACTTGACTCCCTCATTTTCCCCCAATCAAAAAGAAGTCTCTGCTATTTGAAAGTAATAAAGAGCGTTTGTCTTTCCCTCCTCCAAGGACATCACCATCCTTTTCCAGCAGCTGAATGCACAATTCACTGCATGCATGTTTGCAATTTAAAACAAAAGTCCATCTTTGCACCTGAAAATAATTACCATTTCATGGCCCAAGATGGGATTAAATTCAATGAAAATATAAGTAATTTAAGTTGCAAGAGTATAACTTTCTGGATATAATCAATCTAGGGTTAAGTGAAAGTGAGAAGAACAAAGGAATTTTACATAGCACCCAGGAGTCCTAAAAATATTAGGCAGACAGCTGTATCTGCAATTAAATCTGAGTCCTGGATCCTACTTCTGATTTACCTTTAGTCTCAGCATCATTCATTCTTGGTTAGCAAGATTTAGCTTAAATGTTAAGCAAGATTAACTTAACAGTTTGTCATTTGGCAAATGGGAGTAATAGTTGCTTTTAGGTATGTTCAGATATTTAATTTCTTTTTTTTTAAAGATTTATTTATTTATGCATACAAGAACGGGGTACAGGTCAGAGGTGTGGGGGGGCAAGAGGATTCACCAGAGACAGAGTGCAGAACAGAATAGGCGGATCTATTGAAATACACTGCTAAGGGGAGCAGCGGGCAAGTCAGGAGAGGTCTGCTGCGCCTTGTGGGTATCTCCCTGGCTGGGGATCAAACTCATGCTGCAGTGGCTGCAGAGAGCTTCATAGGTTGCATCTTAACCCCTTGTGCCACCAGGGAGGCCCCAGATATTTAATTTCTTGATAATTTTTTATAAAATGCATACATTTTTCAATTTTATTTTCCTAGACATTAAAGTATGTGTCCTTTGTGGATGAATCCAACATTAGGATGGTGGACCAGCAGCTACTTGGGAGACGTCTGCAAGATGTCAAAGGTGAAGAAGTTCCAGTAAGTGAAGACATTCAATCTATTTTTTTAAGAAAACTTAAGTATAAATATATCTAGACATTCATACAAATTGACTCAATTTACATAACTGATGAATTCAAGCAAAGCAAACATATAACCAGCCATCAGATTTACAAAGAATTATTAGCAGAAGTGTCTTTCATGCCTCCACCCAATCATTCACCCAATCCTTCACTTAAAAGGAGTCCTTATCCTGTATTCAAAGTTTAGTGTTATCTCTTCTAAAACTTTATAAAATTTGATTTGATCATATATATTCACTATATATATATTCACTATAAATAGAACTTTTGCTATCTGTGACAGCTTGAATGACACAAAATAACATCACCTGAAAGAAGCCACTCACTCAACAGAGTATATAGTGAATAGTTGAGTGAGTGGCTTCTTTCAGTTGACGTTATTTTGTGCCATTCAAGCTGTCACAGATAGCAAAAGTTCATATTTGTGTGACAATTATTGCCTAATTTCCATATCATAAACATCCAAGCTCTCCATGCTGCTGTGGATGGACATTTGGGGAGTTTCTGGCTTGGGACTCATACCAAGTGAGCCCCAGGGTGTGGCTATGGCAAACATGGCACCCACGAGTGGAACTGCTCAGTCACAAGACTTGAGTTCAGCTTTAGTAGATACTACCAAACAGTTCTCACAGGGGGAGTTCTCAGTCACACTCTTCCAGTCTGCCTTGATTGCTGAACATCTTCACTAACTGTGATAGTTTCCCACAGTTACCACACTAAATTACCAGAGACTAGGTAGCTTGAAACAACAGAAACGTACTCTTTCATAGTTCTGAAGACAAGGTTTGAAATCAAGGTGTTGGCAGGTCTGTGCTCCCTCTGAAGGGCCTTGGGAGGATCCTTCCTTATCTCTTCCAGGCCCAGGGTTTCGCACACCTGATAGGTCCTTCGGTACAATACTGAACAGAAGTGGTAAGAACAGGCATCTTTCTCTCATTCCCTAGCTCAGGAAGAAAGCTTTTTATATTTCACTCTTCATTGGGGTATTTGTTGTAGGTTTTTCAAGAATGGGCTTTCAGATTAAGATCATTCTCTTCTGTTCCTAATTTGCTAAGAATTTTTACCATGAATGGACATTGAATTTTAAAATAATGTCTTGTTTTTTTTAAATGATCAGTGAGTTTTCTTCTGTTATGTCATAACGTATACTGATGGATTTTCAAAAATATAAGCCAAGCTTGCATTCCTCCAATGAAATCAATTTCAATGCAATGTATTATTCCTCATATTTACTACTGGATTCAATATTTTTACATCGTTTGAGTTATACTAACCCAAATTTTTCCATTCTTGTCATGTCCTTATCAGGCTTGTGTATAAAGTGAACTTGTGTGTGCGTGTGTGTTGTGTGTGTAGTAAAATACACGTAACATAAAATTTGCTGTTTTAACCATTTTATTTTTATTTATTTTTTATTTTATGTATTTTTTACATAATTTTTCATTTTTGCACAATGTATACATTTTCATCTTGGTTATAGTCCCCATACAATTCCCACCTGCCTTGTTTTGATCCTAATCCCTCCTCCCCCCACCCCTGTAGTGTGTCTCTGGTTTATAGTTGCTTGCTTTTTTGTTTGTTTGTTTTTTTCTTAATTTAAATTTTATTTTTATATTCCCCTTACAATTACAACCCCCTGATTTTGACCCCAATCCCTCCTTTCCCCGCCCCCCCACCCCCCACAGAGTATCTCTGGTTCATAGTTGTTTGTTGATTTTGATATTTTCTTTCTTATAGTTATTCTTTTTCCTGGTCCCTTATTTAAGTTTTCTAGATTCCTGCTATGAGTGAGACCATCCGGTATTTTTCTTTTTCTTTCTGGCTTATTTCGCTGAGCATGATCCCTTCCAGTTCCATCCATGTTGCTACAAACTGCATGTGTTTATCTTTTTTGGAATGCTGAGTAATATTCCATGGTGTATATGTACCACATCTTCTTGATCCAGTCATCTATTTTTGGGCACTTGGGTTGTTTCCAAAGCTTAGCTATTGTAAATAGTGCTGCTATAAACATAGGGGTGCACGTGCTCTTTGGAATTTGTTTCTGTGTCCTTTGGGTAAATACCTAGGAGTGGAATTGCTGGAACATATGGAAGCTCTATGTTTAGTAGGTCAAGAAATCTCCACACAGCTCTCCATAGTGGTTGGACCAGTTTGCACTCCCACCAACAGTACAGGAAAGTTCCTTTTTCTCCACATCCTCGCCAACATTTGTTGTTGCTAGTTTTTTTAATATGTGCCATTCTCACTGGTGTAAGATGGTATCTCATGGTAGTTTTGATTTTCATTTCCCTGATTACAAGTGATGTTGAATATTTTTTCATATGCCTGTTGGCCATTTGTATTTCCACTTCAGAGAAGTTTCTTTTTAGCTCTTCTGCCCATTTTTTGACTGGATTATTTTCTTTGTTTTTGTTGAGTCTCATCAGCTCTTTGTAGATTTTTGTGATCAGTCCTTTATCATTAGTGTTGTATGCAAAAATGTTCTCCCAGTTGGTGGGGTTTCTCTTTGTTTTGGTTATTGTCTCTTTTGCTGTGCAGAAGCTCTTTAATTTGATGTAGTCCCAGCTGTTTATCTTTGCCTTCACTATCACTGCTTTGGGTGATGTGTCTGTAAAGATGTCTTTGAGGTGCATGTCATGTAGTGTTTGCCTATATTTCCTTCTATATATTTTATGGTTTCAGGTCTTATGTCTAGTTCTTTAATCCATTTTGAGTTGTTTTTTGTGCATGGTGTGAAGCAGTAGTCAAGCTTCATTCAAGTAGTGACCCAGTTTTCCCAGCACCATTTATTGAACAAACTTTCTTTGCTCCAATGCATATTCTTTTCTCCTTTGTCAAAGATTAGTTGACCATAAATCTATGGGTTTATTTCTGGATTTTCTATTCAATTCCATTGGTCTGTGTGTCTGTTCTTGTTCCAATACCACACAGTTTTGATGATTACGGCTTTGTAGTATAGTTTGAAGTCTGGGAGTGTGATGCCTCCATTCCCTTCTTTTTTTTTTTTTTTCCAGGAGAGCTTTTGCTATTCGGGGTTTTTGGTGATTCCATATGAATTTCATCAATAATTATTCTATTTCTTTGAAGAATGACATTAAAATTTTTATTAGAATAGCATTGAATCTGTATATTGCTTTTGGTAGGGTGGTCATTTTAATAATGTTTATTCTTCCAATCCATGAGCAGGGGATGTCTTTCCATTTCTTTGTGTCTTCTATTTCTTTTAACAGTGTTTTATAGTTTTCTTTGTATAGGTCCTTTAACTCTTTTGTTATGTTTTTTCCCAACTATTTGATTTTTTTTGTTTCGATAATAAAAGGGATGGCTTTTTTTATTTCTTCTTCAGATTTATTGTTTGTGTATAGGAAGGCTACTGACTTTTGCGTGTTGATTTTGTATCTTGCCACTTTACTGAACTGATTGATGAGTTGAATTAGTTTTTCTGTGGAGTTTTTGGGGTTCTCTATGTATATTATCATATCATCTGCAAATAGTGATAGTTTGACTACTTCTTTTCCTATTTGGATTCCTTGTATGTCTTTCTCTTGTCTTATTGCTCTGGCTAGGACTTCCAGTATTTTATTGAAAAGCAGTGGTGAGAGTGGACATCCTTGTCTTGTTCCAGATCTTAATGGAAATGCTTTCAGCTTTTCACCACTGAGAATGATACTGGCTGTTGGCTTGTCATAGATGGCCTTTATGATGTTGAGGTATGTTTGTAGGTATGTTCCTTGTATCCCAAGAATTTCAAGGGCTTTTATCATGAATGGGTGTTGGACTTTGTCAAAAGCTTTCTCAGCATCTATTGATATTATCATATGGTTTTTATATTTCTTTTTGTTGATGTGTTGGATAATGTTGATTGATTTTCAGATGTTGAACCATCCTTGTGTTCCTGGAATGAACCCTATTTGGTTGTGGTGAATTATCTTATAGATACATTTTTGGATTCTGATAGCTAAAATTTTCTTGAGGATTTTTGCATCAGTGTTCATTAGGGAGACTGGCCTGTAGTTTTCTTTTTTTGTGTTGTCCTTGTTCAGTTTTGGTATTAGTGTAATGTTGGCTTCATAGAACGTGTTTGGTATTGTCCCTTCCTTCTCAATTTTTTGGAAGAGTTTGTGAATGATAGGCACTAATTCGTTTCTGAACGTTTGGTAGAATTCATTTGTAAATCCATCAGGTCCTGGGCTTTTGTTTTTAGGGAGGTTTTTGATTACCATTTCAATTTCGCTGCTTGTAAATGGTATGTTTAGGTGTTCTATTTCTTCTTTATCTAGCTTTGGGTAATTGTAGAGTTGTAGGAATTTGTCCTTCTCCTCTAGATTGTTGAACTTGTTTCCATATAACTGTTCATAGTAGTTTCTGATTATTCTTTTGGTTTCTGCTGTGTCTATTGTGATTTCTCCTCTTTAATTTGTGATCCTGTTTATTTGTGCTTTCTCCCTTTTTTCCTTTGTGAGCCTGGCTAGGGGTTTGTCTATTTTATTTATTTTTTCGAAGAACCAGCTCTTGGTTTCATTGATCTTTTGGATTGTTTTTTAGTTTCAATTTCATTTATTTCTGCTTTGGTTTTTATTATTTCTTTTATTCTACTGGTTGTGGGGTTTTTGTTCTTTTCTAGATCTTTGAGCTTCGAGATTAGGTTGTTTCTTTGAGTTCTTTCTTGTTTCTTGATGTGAGCCTCTATTGCTATATATTTTCCTCTTATTACTGCTTTTGCTATATCCCATACATTAGGAAATTGGTGTCGTCCTTGTCATTCAATTCAAAGAATTTTTTAATTTCTTCTTTGATCTCCTCATTAGTCCAGTGGTCTTCCAGTAGTGTGGTTTTCGATCTCCATGAGGTAGGAGAGTTCCTTGCCTTCTTTTTGTGGTTTATTTCTAGTTTGATGCCTTTATTGTCAGAAAAGATGGTTGGTATGATTACAATCTTGGTGTATCTGTTGAT